CTGGCTGCGAGTATTTGCGCAAGAACACTGACTTTGTACTGTACAAAATCAGTGGTTCTTGTGCAAATACTCTGATGCTCCCGCTCAGGGATAAGCCCTCTTGCACAAGAAAGCCCAATGGCTAAAATGGTTATCGGAGCTTTCTTGCACAAGAGAGTGTCTACACTGGGCACGGATGCTTTTGCGCAAAAGCAAATCTTTTACTGGCATGTGCCTTTGCGCATAGACACTCTCTTGCACAAATACTTTTAATGGAAAAACTTTTCTGTTAAAAGTATTTGCGCAAAATCATGCCAGTCTAGACGCAGCCTGAGTTACTGAAGTCCTGAAATCATGATTTAAAGATTTGCGATGGTGGATTTTCTGTAACCTGCTCTAATTCAGCGGTTCCCAACGTTTTCCAGATGGGGGCCCATTTTGACAATTCGGGAAGATTTGGTGATATAAGGCAATTCAAAAACAGAGGCGGGGGGAAGAGGTGGGGCAGAGCCACCTGGGGAGATACTTGGTCACCCTTTTGACATGTAATGGCGATCCATAAGTTGGGAAACCCTGCTCTAATTCAAACTTTCAGGTGACCTGTGCTCTGTGCTGTAGCAAATGAGAGACTCCAAATACAAACAGAACGCTATTTGTTGTGTAGTTTGCCTAAGGCAGAATGTACATGGTGGTAACCAAGGCTTGGAAGGGTGGTAGAGGGAGCCAAACACTGCCTGGCATAGCATTACTTACTGTCCCACGTAGTTGTGTTGGTCAGTGACAGCACTGCATATGGGGTAAAGCTCTACACTTGGCAATGTTTGCTGGTTCAGTGCCTGAGATTGTAAAACTTAAATATGGAGCATGTACACAATTGATCATTCAGGGTTTTGAATTCTTAGTGTTTTGTTGCTTTGTTCACAGTGCAATAGGGTTCCTGATGAGAGAAGATACTTGTTGCCACTGAAGAGTATTTACATGAGACAGATTGATCAAATGGTGGGTTTGATCTGAATGAGTTCTCCAAAGTAATGTTTCATAATATACAAGGAACATGGACTCTGATTCTGATACAACATTGTCAACTGCGATGCAACCTTACATTCACCGAGTCACTTGAATGCCACTATTTCTTACGGATTTAGCTATAAACCGAGGGAAGATTTAATTGTCTTCTGTAGTGAAATGTAGTTAAGCAATGGGAACTCTAAATACAATTTGAGCAGAGTGCTAGCCTGATACAATTTCATACAGCAAAGCTTGTATTACAAATTATTTCTGGATAATCTTGGAGCACACACTTTTATTTTTTTAAAAGAGCAATTGGCATATGCCATAAGTTATATTGCCACCTTTTTGTAGCTGTATTTATAAATGATGATCCTTTGGAAGAAGTTTAGTATCAAAGTTGAAAATGTTTTGTTGGACAGGAAAGGGAATGTGCAATTTTATCACCAAGTTTAATCATTTGGGTTGTTCTGTCTAGCAATAACAATATTATTTGTTCCTCAGGTAGAAAAACACTTGTAATGAGTTTTGGTCGAAACAAAATTTTGAACAACAGCTTTGAGAGGCAACTCGTAGTCATAAGAGTTCTTGGTATAGTCCTGAGATATTTTAAACAGGCCTCTTAACGTGAATTTTGCATTCACAAAAGCATACTAACTATAGTAACCAATAATTGAAGAACAAGGTGCCTTTGTATGGAAATGCACAAACCATTCTGAATTGTTTGAACTGCTCAACTTCTATTGCTTAGCTGAACAGATGGTCAGAAGTATTCTTAAGTTATTTTTGTCACATACAAATGTAATGTCTTTTGCAAAGAGATCCCGAAGAAAAAACTGACAATATGAAAACAAGGGAATTATATTCTTGATAGTGTTTTTTTGGGTTAGTGCCTTAAGTGTATTTTTGCTCATGAGAAAAAAAACCTGAGCTGCTATTTGAGTGGGAATGTATTTTTGTTAAATGGAATCAGTTACTATTGGAGTGCCTTGGTCATACAACTTTGAATCCCAAAGAAACTGAGGTTGGTATTTTAGATACTGGAAGGATGTTTCCTATTTGTATCCCAAAGAATGTTGGATTTTTTTATGCATTTTTTTCTGTCAATCCAGTCAAATATTGTACAATGTGTGCTTATGGGTGTTACCATGTTTGAGAGTAGAGCCTACAATATGCTGAGATCCATTTTCGATAGAGGGTGGCAGCAGAGTGCACTTGTCAACTTTCAGGAGGTGTGCAGCAGTTCATAGATCAGGCCAGTAGTGGCTAGTAACACTGAGCTCAGTCTTGCCCTGTGAAAGTGCATCTCCAAGATTGGTGG